ATGCGCAATGGAAAGACGATGATAAGTAGCATAGTTATCAAGCGGATTCTAAACCATAGCAGAATGAGCTGCATCTGGAAGTTGCACGTCATATCCCCGTAGTCGAGTGGAAGGTTGACAAACTTGATCACTACGACGAAGCGGGACAGGGTCTTCGGAGGGGGGCGTAGCGTCCTCAATCGGAGAAGAATCCACCGCAGGTGATGTGGGTGGCGGAGACGAGCGAGATGCTTCGGACGAAGGAGCCATGGGAGAAGGGCTGCTATCGTCATGCGTAAGAGACGAGGCCTCTAGAGATGGCGAAAGCAACTCATCATCATCGTCATCACATTAGATGGTATAATCCACCCACATGGATGCCCAATGAATAGAATTTTCCAGGGATATTCGAACAGAGTGTGCCATAGGGTGCTCTTGTGCAAACAGCCTCAGATAATATAATCCACCCACATGCTTACCCATCCCAATCAGTTTCTTGGATGGTAAGTTGATAGGGCAAAAGCGTAATGCCAATTCCTATCTTGTAGTAAAACAGGAAATCCGGGTATCGTCTCTCAGAGACTGGAACAACCTTATAATTTATCAATTCTGCAGAGCAAACTATCAGTGAAAAATGGTTTGATTGATGAGATTATTAACTAATAGCAAAATAACTAAAATAATTAAGCAAAGTAAACTTGTCGGGAGAAATTCAATGGGAGAAAGCTCTGGGAGAAACACCGGGTCTCGCTACCTATCCTATCCAGATTAATTCACATATTCTAATCAATTTAATCCAACTCTCTACAGCCAGGATATCACGAATGTGTTAGCTATCCCTGTCGGGAATAACTACGTACTAAACAATTAAATCAAATCCTAATGTCGTAGCTCAATGACCTAATTATTTAGCCTAAAGATCGATATCCTATTTAAGACCAAATAGCACCTTATTTAATCCACTGTCGCTTCGATAAGTTACTATGTCACATGAAATATGTTCAGTTATTAGGGTTTCACTGTCGCTAATAATCTAATTAACAACAAATCAATATATTGGTGGCCAGTCAACACAAAGCATTAAGTAATTTCATGCAATAGAGATTGGAAGAAAAGAATTATGAATCAATCCATCAAATATAGAAATAGCTACATCCTATGGTGTTTCCCCTAGAAATTGAGATTTAGTTCATGACGAAAATAAAACACACAATCATGTTCATAATCATCATGTCACTAATTAAAATAACTAATTAAAATAACGAGTAGAAAATACTCTGATAAAATCTAAAGCTGCGATGCGATCGGCCAGCTCTCCGATTAGAATTCTGCGCGCTGCTGCTTTCATCCCAATTCTCCAATTATTCCGCCCTCCAACCTCTGCTGCGCCCTCTGCTTCTTTTCCCCAAAAGAGATTTCTTTTTCCTCCCCCCGAATAATTCCGCACCTGCTCTCCTCTCTTTTCCTTGTTTTTTGCCGACCCCAAAGAGAATCCCTTTCCAAGAATAATTCTCCCCAGCCATTTGGTCCAGGCCCACTTCTTCTTCCCTCTGACCGCCACTCTTCCTTCATCAAAAACCAATTCCGCTGGTCCTTTAGCCCAATTCCATGTCCCAATTAATTCCTCCCACCAAAAACAATCCAGCATCCTCCTAGCCCAAGTGAGTGATTCGAGACAGATTAATTGCTTGTGCACTCGCTTCTTTTTCGTGCTTTCTCCACCTGTAACATATCAAACTAATGGCACTAGGCAGTAATGGTTTTTTCAACCATTTCCGGGTTAGCGATCCCTAAAATAACACCAATCGGTTTAAACATAACATGGGATAATCACATATAGTTCAAGAATCAGACATATTAAAGCCGATTATCACAACCCCACACTCAATTGTTGCTTGTCCCTAAGCAACGACTCAAAAGACACAAACACATAACTATACATACCAATGACACAACACAGACTCACCAACCAAACACTCAAAACAAAACACAAAATTTCCTTGTACTCTTGTTGTAATCTGTAGTTTCTTTCTCAATGGCTGAGTTGTGCTTTAATGATCATACATTTCACCCCACACTCAAGTTCGTTGCAACCATTACCAAAAACCGACTCAAATCCACCAAAAACTCAATTAGCAAACACTCAATTCAGATCGTCGGTAGTGGGTGGTTAACAACTTATGGTGCAACAGTTATTAGGAGGATCTAAACACATAAGTGAGGTGCATATCTTGTGAGGACAATCTGGTTTACTCACACCAATCATGAGCAATTTACTAAGCATGAGTCTCAAAAATAAATGGGGGAAGCCTTTCGCAAACATGATTTTAACTTTAAGCACATCACTACCGTTTCTGACAAGGAGAGTCTTTCTCTCTTCCTGATTTTGCTTGCCGAGTAGTCGTATTTAGTACAAGTGGGATTTGTTTCTTACTACCGGTGACCGAGCAAGAGCAATTTCTGCTTCTTAGCAGTCGCATAAGGGCTTCTTTCAACTCCTTTTCCTCGGTCCGTGTGGAGGGTCAATGCACATCCTCAAATGGCACTTCACTCAACTGGGGATCGTACTTGATAAGCAACATCGATTTTGGCACTTCACTCAACTGGTCGGGAACCGATGCTCAGTTGAACCTTTCCTAATCCCCCTGTGCAATAAGTGATTGCCTCACACGATTTTGGCATTTACCCACACTTTAATTGTCATGGCTACTTTATTATATTTTACTTGTCAGGTAGTGTTTTCTCATTTATAAAGATACAGTTCACCCCATCATAAAACATCAAAACAGAGAGACTCGTTGCAAAATCAAAAGCTCACAATTTATGCAAGTAAGCACGGTATCCAAACATGTCGAATGGTCAATGTTCTCCGCCTAACTACTTCACCAAAAGTCATTACACTATCCTCACAAAAGAGAATGTTGCTAAAAGAGTTTGCTCATTCAAAGCATATCAAGTCAGTCAAACTATCAAGCTCATTGTGAAGAACTTTGCAATTCAACACTAGTGGGGTGATTTTGATGATTTCCTTCAAGCACAAACTCATTTTCAAGGCATCACGGTCATTTACATCATGTTACCACAAGAGTACAAGGTTTTGTTCTTAATTTTTCTGATTTTTAGGTGTTTTTTAGCTATTAGGTTAGCACAGGCAGACTGCACTAGCACAAGCAAACTGCATGCAGTTTGACTGTGCATAGCCAAATGACAGATTTTTTTTACCACATGCATTAGGGACAAACAAACACTAAGACTCACCACCCCACACTCAGGATGGAACATTGTCCCTAATGTTCAACTCCTAATCTAAACATTCACGGGTTTGACACAACTAAAAAGAAAAATAAAGAAAATAAAACTTACCTTGGGTTGCCTCCCAAGAAGCGCTTGTTTAACGTCCTCAGCCTGACGTTCATGGAGCTTTCAACCAATGGGTATGGAAAGGTATCCAGAATACCCTCCCGAGCAATGATAGAATGCATAACCTCCATCCAACATATGAGTCACCTCTGCAGGGCCAGGTGTGCAAAAATTGGGTATGAACTTCTTAGCTGGCATGTTGGATCCTTTAGTGAGGCGTAGGTGCTATTGCAGTGCCTCAAGCAAGTACTCTTCATGTTTCAATGTCAATGAAGAAGGAATAATAACAGGAATATTGAAATTCTTACCCAAATATCTATACTTGAGGTGACCTGGCAAGGATTTCTGCCCTTGCTTTGATTTCAGAATCTGAGCAGATAGGATAGGTGATAGTCCTTCGGATGGTCCACTATCACAGGAAGAGGAATTTTTCCTTTCTCGAGCCCCACTTCGAAGTGATCAAATGCATCGTGAATATGATCAACTTGAAAGACATTAAAAATCTCCTCCTCCTTACTTACTCGGAATGTCAACTTGCCTCTCCCGACATTGATGAGTGCATCGCCAGTTGCTAGAAAAGGTCTCCCAAGAATGAGAGGCACTCCCCGATCTTCTTTCATCTCCAGAATCACAAAATCTGTAGGGAGAATAAACTTCCCCACCTTCACCAATACATTCTCTACCACTCCCTTTGGAATTTTCACTGATCGGTTCCCCGCATCGAACGGCTACGGTGAATGCGACGCGGATCGCTTACGTGGACGAGCGAGGGGCATTCACCGTTCCAAACAAAGGTGGTGAACTCCCTGTTGTCCATGTCAGCGATCCGCGTCGTGCGGATTATGGTTTTCCTCCCAGATCTGATGCCTCACAGCCTCCCACGTCAGCTATGCCCGCCTTTCACCGCTTTCGAAAAAGGCAGGGCCATCACTTTTGCTGACAAACGCGGTGATGGCTCTGCTTAAGTTTTCAGCGGTCCTCTTCCTTTATAAATAGAACCCTTCTCCCCTCTTCCAAATCACACCACCACACAACAATTCTTTCTCCCTCCATTCCTCCAATCTAGGTTCGTTCTAAGTATGCTTTTTGGTTGCAGCAAAGTCCGATCTTCCACATTAGAAAGAATTACGAGAGTTATACCCTAAAGCTCGTCCCTCTAAAAACCCGTCGAAACTCTGTCCGGCTTCCACCAAAAAATGGACGAAGAGGCTCTTCAAGTAGGTTCTTGGTTTTCCTTTTGTGATTTATTTTTTTAATCGAAAAAATATGATTTTGTGATTTAGGACAACAATCCGATAAACACTACGTACCTTATAAACAAAGTAGTTATAAAGTATTCATAACTTTTTTTATAGATGGGTGTCGAGATATACGATCCTCGATTGTATATCTATTATGGGCCACGAGATACAAAGTATTTATCCGAGCAAGAAGCACATCGCTCCCGTGCAATTTGGGACAACAATCCGGTAAAAACTACGTACCTTATAAACAATTTATTTTATTTCATTATTTAGAAGTTTTTATTTTGCTTTCCTTTGACTAACAAATCTGTGTTTTTTTTTTAGGAATCACTTATTGTCGTCATTCATAGAGGGACCATTAACTTGCCCACTTGGCATGATCGCTTGTCGCCGTATATAGAGAGCACTGGGTTGGGTATGTTGAGGCATTTTATGCGGATTGAAATCGACAACGATCTACTTACGGCAATGGCAGAGCGATGGCGCCCCGAAACCCATACGTTCCACCTTCCGGAGGGGGAAATGACGATCACCCTCAAAGACGTTGCGATCCTCACCGGGCTGCCGATAACTGGAGATGCCATCATCGAGAGCTCTACCAAACCCGATGCAGGCTGGGGGCTGCTCATTCTTGATCGTATAGGCTTTTACATGCCGACCACCACACCAATTCAAGGACGGGGGCATCTACCGTTGAATGCGGGACAAGTGTCGATCCCGTGGCTCGTTGCTCACATCCAAAACGAGGTTCAAATAGGCCCAGACCCATCGGAAGATCAAGTGGAGCGCTATGCACACATCTACCTCATTAGTTTGGTCGGTGGATTCATGTTCCCCGACAAGGCAAACAGGTGGATTCAAGGCATATGGTTGCCATTGCTCACCGGTGACTGGGATACGGTCGTGGAAAGAGTTAGGGTCAGCCGTGTTAGCTGGCGTATATAGGGAGATGTGTACTTGCTCGAAGGAGGGAGCGAAACAAGCTGGTGGTGCGATGTTCATCCTCCAGCTCTGGGGATGGGAGCATCTTCCAATGTTCGCACCTCAAGACCCGCGTCCATTCTGGAGTCATGATGAGGAGCTATGAAATGTGTCAAATCCCCGCTATGGTGTCAAGTAAGTTTTTTCCATAGTTGTAGAACATTTAATTTATATTTATTCAATGGTTAGCGTAATTTACTTTAAAATTTAGGCAATATACACTTGTATAGCCAAAGCTTCCGCGTTTGTTACAATAATAGTCAAATTTGAAAAAATACCACTTATAGCCACTTCCGTCCAATTTTTTAATTAGCGTTAAGGCTGACTAGATAAATGGAAATCCTGACCTGGCTAGCACTTCCGTCCAATTCCGTATGTCAAAATCCACGTGAATTTATTAATTAAAAAAAAAACAACAACAACAACAAAAAATGCAAACTCGTTTGGCCTCCTCCCAAACCCCCCACCGCCTCCCTTCAATCCCTCCTCCTCCAACCCTTCCACTTCCGCCGCACCAACTCTTCTCCTCCTCTCAAACCCCACACCATCAACTACTCACGAGATATGCCTCCTCGACCAGCTCCCTAAATCGATTTGCCCCCACCATCAACTTCCCGCACCAGCTCCCTAAATCGACGATGACTAGAACTGCCGGCGGTGCAGCGGCAGTAATATGACGAATCTGGGCAACCGAATCCCACTATGTTTCTCAACCTCCCCGTTAATTTAACAAAACCACTCTGTTTCTCATCTTTCAAATGGGAATTCCAGTCGTCGTCAATCGTCGACCTTCCCAATTCATCCATTCCTTCCCGATGCGAAACCCAAAACCATCGAAAAGAGGGAGCCCAACACAACAACTGTCGTCGAAAAGGCGCTCGACTTTGGATCGGGGATCGACGTCCCTCTGTCGATCTAACGAGTGGAAAGGAGGAGACGAGAACGGTGGCGGAAGGTGATAGTGGAAAAGTTGGCTCCTCTCGCACCGGTTGATTCGGAGTCTCCGTCCATACCTTGAAATTTGTGAGCTTTCTGATTTCTGGTTTTATTCCTAATCTGACTCGCTGCAAATTTTTGACTATAAAAGAATTGCTGCTGGGGGAGAGATGGTTGGGAGAGGAGAGGGAAAGGAGGAGGAAGAGAGGTGCGTGCGGTGGAGGAGAAAGTGAAGAGAGAGAAGGGGATGAAAATCTCCTCAAAAAATTAATTAGGAAAAGTTAAAATAATTTTTTTATTCTGACATGGCACTTTTGGCTTATTCGGTGCTGACGTGTGTGAGCTGAGTTGGAGCTTAGTCAGCAAACCGTCAAAAAAGTTGACGGTGTTACTAAAACCATTAAAGTATTAACTATAAAATCTGGCTATAAGTGGTATTTCTCCAAAATTGGCTATTATTGTAAAAAATGCGAAAGTTTTGGTTATACAAGTGTATATTGCCTAAAATTTATTTCATGCTTAGCTAGATTTAAATTTAATTTATGCCATAATTAGCCAAATTTAAATTTATTCCATACTTAGCTACATTTAATTTTATTCCATGCTTAGCTAGATTCAAATTAAATTTATTTCGTACTTAGCTAAATTTAAATTTATTGCATGCTTAGATAGATTTAAATTAATTTTTTTTTGTACTTAGCCTAAATTTTTCCCTCTTATATCCGTACTTTTACTTACAACGTGGATAAGAGCAACTACAAACGACCACCAAGCTGAGCACTCTTTACTGTTTTATCATGCTGAGTTTGATAAGCCTTGGTGGAACCAGGTAATCATGACCATTCTATATTTTAACGAATTAAATTTTTTTGAATGCAATTGGTTGCTGTTTGCAAATTATGAATGAGTATAGGTTACACGGGACCCATATCCACATGAAGTAGTCGAGCTTCATCATTTGAGACACCCCCAGGATCGCGAGACGTGGTTGTGTAAGGTGCCCTTGATCTGCTGGCACATCGTGGAGTGGCACCTACCCGATCGATCATTAAGGCAATATCAATTGGGGCAACCAATTCCACAAACCCGGCCTCAAGGTTTCAGGGAGCTCCATGCCATCGACCTCCAACATTCGGCAAAGAATTTGCTTCTCAAGCATCAGTTCTACATCAACATTTGGGAGAATAGAGCAAATTGGGTGGTCCAAGGAATGCCGGAGACGAGACCTATGGGGTACCACGATGGCTACATGCAGTGGTATCGAAAGTTCACGCTTAGATGGGTGTCAAAGCAAGGTACTGTGATGGGTTCGTTGGTAAGTCATCCCAAGTCTCCCTCGTAGTCTAATTCTTTTCATAGTTAGGTTTAATTATTAATTTGGATTTATTACCTAAATTGCTTAGGTTGATGGTTTGGAACACGTCAAGCACATGGTCGAGAGTGAAACCACCATGGATGAGCGGAATACCTCTTGGTTGCGGAGGCTTATGCACAACCTCCTAAGTTGTACCCGAGAGCACAGGAGGGATGTCGTAGCATATCCTCCACTTCCTGCTCCGGCCCGCCCATCATTTCGTGATGGTGAGAGCATTGTGCCTCCGGTTGAGCCCCCACGAAGGAGAAAACGCAAGTCTCTGACACAATTTCAAGAGCTTCGTACGACTCAAGAAACAGAACTCTCTGAACCATTTGAATACGAGTGGGCAAGTGCACCGGATGTCGCTGGAGGGTCATCGTGCTACATGCCATCTCAGGAACATGACATGTTCCCCAAGGGTTATCTCAATTCAACCATCAGTAGCAGACTCCGATGTATCATACTCCGCAACAACAGACCCCTAAGGCGCCGAGCTACTACCCCTCAGCCACCTCCACCTCCACCACCACTGCAGACTCCGGTCGAGGGTCGGGTTAAGAGAAATCCGCGAGCAGTTGTCCAACGAGCTCGCGAAGAAGGAGGAGGGAGAGATGGCGGAAGAAGGGGTCGAGGACATCGTGGAGGATGCGGAGGAGGGAAAGGCGGGGAACAAAATGAAGCCAACTAGTGAACTTGTCATGTTATCTGTGTTTATTTTAGGGGTGATTTGCTTCATGGATTTAAAAATGAGGGTTTTGAAATTTAAATACCCAAGGATTTATCAAGGATTTGATGCATTATGGATTTGTAACTATCATTTGTTTGTTGAGATGTTTTATCATGGATTTAAGAGTTTGGGATTTAGAATTTAAAGTCCCAACCATACTATGATTTTCTATTTGTTTGTCATGTTTATTATATGTACACAAAACAAGGAAAATATGTACTAATAAGCATAATGTTGTCACCAGAACAATAATAATAAACGAAAAAATTTCGTTTAACATTTAACGTAATATATATTGGTTACCAATCCTTTGTCCTCCTTTTCAAAAGTAACATATAGCAACATATACTAGAACACAATAAAGGGTATAAAAAAATCTAAATCATTTTGCACATTAATTGAATATTTATATTCTTTATTTGTGGTTAATTAATTAATTATTTATAATGTAAAATAGGTAAATGTGAGGGCAAACTTGGAATTTTAAAAGTTCATGAAGTTATATGAGTAAAATCTCACAATGGATTTGTAGTATGTTATAAATCTCACATCAATATGTGAGATTTAGAAATCTGTGGGTCCACGGATTCGGACAATTAAAATTCGTGGGTCCCACAGATTTGGTCCCTAAAAAATATGCAAGCAAACGATGGATTTTGCTTAAATCCACGATGGGATGGATTTGGGTACCAAATCCATCATCCAAATCCACGAAGCAAACGACCCCTTATTTTGTGTCATTCGATGAACTATCCATGTTGTCTTTCTTTAGTCACCTTCTTGCATTTTTCGTCTTGCATGATCTATGAACTATCCATGTTGTCTTTCTGTAGGTAGGTCTTGGGTTTTGGCTTCAAGTTATCAATGATCTACGTTTAGTCTACCTTCCGTTTTGTCTCAAGATTGCTGAAAAATCCAACGTCATTACAATCACTAAACAAGCTTACAACTTAACATCATTACAACTAAATGACAATTTAAGATAGATCACAATTCAAGGTTGGTCCTGGTTAATTTCCGCATCTTGCTGGATAGGTTGTCCTGGGCAACGCCTTTTGTCATGGCCAGGTTGTCTACATTTAGAGCATCGCTTTGGCCCTCTTCTCGGGCGTTGCGATTGATCCATCTCATTGTGAATCCTTTCGGTCCTTGTACGACCCTTGGTACGCTTTATGTGCAACGGTGGGATAATCAACTTCCCATTGTCTAAAGGCCAATAAGCTTCATCTGGCATGGGGTTGAAATTGACCGAGTAAGATTCCTGATCGTCTGTTCGGTGAAGGACTCACCAGAATGTGGGGACTCATGGTGATTGACTTTGCTATAGCCATTGCATGTGAACAGAGTATTCTTATGTTTTGATACTTTTGATATAAAAAAGGCAAAATACACTTGTATAGCCATAACTTTCACGTTTGTGACAAATATAGCCATAATTATTCGAAAACCAAAAATAGCCAAGTCCGTCCATCCCTTTAACGGTGTTATATAACGGTATGACTGGACTAACAGAAAAAGCTGAGTTGGCAATATTTTGTCAATAGGCGGAATTAACTGAAACAAAAACAAAAATAAAAAGAAATTAATTAAAAAAAATTATTTTCTCTCCCCTCTCTCCTTTCCTCTTCCACTGCGAATAATGCCTCCCCTCTCTCCATTCCCAAATCCACAAAACCAAAATCCCTAATCTCCAGATCTAGAAAACTCCTCCTCAATCCCTTTTTCACCACTGCATCCTTTGATTCTTTAATAATCCATGGTGGGAAGCAGTACAAGGCGGGTTCGGAAGGACTCGAGGTGCTCTTCTGAGGTCTCTGATGATGGGATTGTGGCGGTCGATGACGCGGCCGCCGAGCTGGGCGGAGGAGGAGGAGGAAGAAGAGGATGGGAAACAGCAACAAAAAGTAAAGGAGGATTCAACTTGAGGTGGTGTTGCTAGCCGATGCAGATTATGTTTCAAAAGTAAAGGGGGGTTTCCTCTTTACCTTCGTTCATTGCTTCTCTAGCTAGCTTTTCTTCCTCAAAGCGATTGATGAAGTTGATGATCTCGTGGCGGCTTGACTTCTGGTCTTAGATCAAATGGTTGACTTGGTTCCTAACTATGTCGAGCTCTGCTCTAAGAGCATATACGAGTGGTATTCCTGGAGAATTCTATCAGATGTGCTTTATTACGTTGGGTGTTCTAGGAACATAGGATTTGAACAAGCATCTAGAACTGCAAAAGAAAACAATGGCCGCCGGAAGGGAGAACAAGAGCCGGTGAGCTCTAGGCGACATCAGGAATCTGGCAACTGGCGTCGCCCCTGAAATCCCCAGGAAGCAGATCGCTCGCCCTGTCACCAGGAGCTTCCGCGCACAACTTCTGGCCAACGATTTTTCCTCTCAATTCATCCAACGATTTCTTCTATTTATGGTTTCTTGTTTTGAATCGTACTCAATCTGAATCTTGGGTGTTGCTTTGAATCCCCGACAAATCCCCTGTCATCGCCCTTAAAATCCCGGAGACCCGCCGCCGCGACGAGGGAGATTCAATGTGCATTGAACAAGAAAAAGTAGAAAATTAATTTTTTGTTTTTTTTTAATTTAAAAATTATTTATTTATATTAGTCAAATGACGTGGCAATGATATGATGACTGTTTGCTAATGTGTCGCTGATGTGGAGGTCGGATTCCGTCCTCGTCAGCATTCCGTCAAATGATTTAACGGAGTCACAAACGGTGTAAAAGTTTCTAACAGATTTGGCTAGATTTGTCACACTACCCTCCGTTTTTTGGGCTATTTCGTGTTTTCAAATAAATATGGCTATATTTGTCATAAACGTGAAAGTTATGGCTATACAGGTGTATTTTGCCTATAAAAAAATACCTTCATTGCAATTGAAGATGACAACTCTATGCTTATTATTTTTTCTTCGTTCTTCTGCATTTGATCAAACACGTGAAGTGCTACCACATGACCAGCTAGCTCCCTCCCTATAGCTAGATGAAGACGATTGACAAACCACTCCTTGACCTTCCAGTATGACATCTCCATTAACGAGCATAAAAAATACATTAGTACCTACAACCCACAATTGATCTCTTATGTCTTTCTTCTTCCCGAATTTGTGGGAGAAATTGGCAAGAAAGTGTCGAATGCACCAGCGCCATGTCCATCCACATTCGTCGAAAAAACCACCCACAGAGTTCCTAAACCCCGCATGTCGATTGATATAATCGTAATACCTTGTCGCTGTGTCACGTGGTTGTGTAGTTGGTCAAAGAACCATGCCCAACTTAAGCTATTCTCCCCTTCCACTAATGCAAATGCAAGAGGGAAAATCCGCATATTTCCATCAACGCCAGTTGCGATGAGAAGAGTTCCTCTGTACTTCACGGTGAGGAAAGTTACATCAACCTAATTAAAATTTAGGATTTAATTAGTATAAAATTTACCTAGCAAGATAAATAAATTAACTTGTACAACAGTAATTAGTTAGTAATATAACTGGAAAACTGGAATGCAGAACGCCAACTCGTCAATGCATGGTTTAAATGCCCAAAATAGCCGGTGAAACATCAACTCATTTTGTACTCGAACTTGATCCTGAGTATATACATTGTTGAAACATGGCACAAAAATAGTCCCATGGTTGGGCTCCTCCATTGCGGCCATTAGTCTAGGGAGTAAAGCATACGAGTCGTCCCAATCACCATACACCTCAGCTATGGCCTTCTGCTTTTCATGCCATGCCTTTTTGTACCTGATCGTGTGAGAATGTCGATCCTTCACCTCAGCCATGATAGATTTGACCTTGATATCTGGTTGTGCCTCGGTCAAGTGCTTAATACTTCTCCCCACTTTCTTTGCTTTAAGTTGGCGGTGATCCTGGGAAAGTATTGACGAGGAGCAGGAGCGGTTGTTCTCAGCTTTTTGAATCACCCAGGCTCCCTTTCTCTTCATATTTGCAGCCCGCAGTTGCCACATACAGCCGTCTCCAGCATTCTTGCATATGACTTGTAGCGTTTACCGTCAGAATATTTCACCTTCCCCTCTAAATTGCGCCGCATGGCATCCTCGCTAAAAGCATCCTGAATATCGTCTTTCGTTGTGAACACCATTATAGGTGTCAATCGGGCGGGTTCGGGCTGGGTTCAATCGGGTTGCGGGTTAGTCGGGATTCGTGTTCATCGTGTTGCGGGTTTATCGGGTTCGGGTTCGGGTTCATCGGGTTCAGGTTCAAACGAGTTGCGGGTTAGTCGGGTTGCGGGTTCATCAGGTTCAGGTTCAATCAGGTTGCGGGCAAATCGGGTTCGGGTTCATCGGGTTTTGGTCGGGCGAGTTGCGGGCGGATCGGGTTATGGGTTGTTCTGGTCAGCGCATCAAGTAACTTACTCATTACTCGTTACCAACTTACACATTTTATTACACTAATTTAAAATATTTTCTCAGTTTTTAACCATTTTCTTTCTACTTCGTACATATACTTAATTAAAAAAAACTAGTCAAAATGTTGAATCAATTTGTACGACTTGCAAACTGTTATGTAATTAATCGTAATTAGTAAAGTATACTAGCTAATAGTAATGGTTATTTCAACATTTGCTACCAAAAGACACCATTAATTGTTTATTTGATATTTTAGTATTATTTCAGTATAAATGGATTAAAGTATCTCGTTTATTAAAACCATGCAAATCTGGTATTTGACATGTGGTATTTGGCAAAAGCAGAGTTGTAGAAGGAGTTATTTCAAAATAACTCACTGCCCAAATAACTTCAGTAAACTGTTGTCAAAAAGAGTTATTTGTAAATTATTCGAATTACCCTAAAAATTGAACCATTAAAGACTAATTATCAAATTTAGTAAAACTGTCGTGACTTCAATAATAACTTACTCAATAACATATATCCTCTACACTTAGTCTTACCCTCAATCGACAATATTAAGTTAGTATATGTTAATGATCGTATACCCTAAACCATCTATACATTATACACTAACCACATACCCTCTAACCTATACCCTAACCATATATCCTTATGAGTTGTGATTTTGCTAGTATAATTAATTTAAAGTGAAATTCATACTTTGATTTTTAAAACATAGATAAAAAGTGATATTTGCTATACCCTAACCATATATCCTATA